GTGCACGCATGCTGGGCAGTGGGGGAGGAGAGCGCGTGCATGCATGCTGGACAGTGGGGGAGGAGAGTGTGCACACATGCAGGGTTGCCAATGGGACCTCTTCTCTGGGAACTTCCAGCCCATGTGCTGGGTGGGTTCTTGGTTATTCTGCTTTGGCTGCATGATTCTGCACCCCATCCCCCAATAACTGATGGTTTGGAGATCCTAACTGGGCTAATCAGATATCCTATAATGAGGAGTTTAAAATGGTAAGTGGAGAGACACAAAGACTAGGAATTCTCTGGATCTCATGGAAAGATCTATGAATTCTTGCTGCCAAGGCCCCCAGAGCCAGCCTGGTTCCTTCCCCTTCTGGGGCCTGAGCGTTCAGCTCTTCTTTGAATTCCATAGATATCCCCAAATCCTTCCAATAAATTGTCTTCCTTGTTTTAAACAAAGTGATGTGACAGGAAAAGGATAGGGACCAAGAATGGATTCAGAAATAAGGATAAAAATGCATCCCTCAATGCCCCTCATACAAATTGGGTTCTAAGATTTCTAGCAGGCAATGCAGGCAGGGAAAACCGGGTTGTTACATGATTAGTGTCCATTATAGATAAAAACAATCCAGTTACCCAGAAGTATTCTGGGTACCAAGACCAGACAGGAAATTTCTCCCAGCGGCTTTGTGTAACGAATAATGTCTTTATAACATCCCTCCAATGGACACAGCAGGTTTTATGGGCTGTTTCTTATAAAGACCCTCCATACAGGCTGATGGCATTACTCTCAAGCTCAATTTTGTGAAATCAGTTCTGGGGCGGCAGGGAGCAAAATATAGTCTGGGCACCTTGATCCAGGAATAGATTCAAGTATGAGGAAAAGCAGATAGCCTGTATACCCTCCACGCAAGCCTCATGCCAAGCACAACTGAAAAATCCTGAGGCAAAGAGCCCAGAGACCCTCCCAGTGAAGTAGTGCACGCTCCACCTGGATGTAGGCCTGCACCTTCGCACTTCATCAATGGCAGGGCTGCCCGGGTTGGCTCCCATTTAGAGAAAGCCAAGGACCTGGGCTCAGTGGTTCAGGGGCAAGAGCACAGGCAGCTGTCCTGGGACCAGGCCTACCCTGGTCTGAGCACCCCCTCCCAGAGAGCTTCTCTGAAGAAGCCAAGCCCCCACCCCAAACTAATCAATGCTTGTCTTTATGAGCAGCCACAGCCATTCCATAGCCTTCCTGAGCCCAGTGTACATCTGCCTAGCCAGATGGTAGAGAACAGCCTTAACAAACTATGCCTATTCCACAGCATCTTCTAAGACAGACCTTTGAAACTGGGTATTTTCTGGCTAAGGACACTGAAAGGCCTTTTAAAATACTGAACAGAAAAAGGCAGCATGGACTCCTGCTTCCCGGGGAGGGGAAAGTCTTACCCATCTTCACTACCCCACATCCCACCTGCAGCTCTCCCAGACCTCCCAGACCCCGTATCTTGGCTGCTGTTCTCTGCCTTCAGAAACCACCCTGGTCTTAACCACTCTGTACTCGCAAACCCTCTACATCCCCAGCCAGTGACGCGAATTGCAGATCTTGGCTTTTCCTATGTAACCTGTGTGCTGAGTTGGACAGTGCTCCCCAAAATTCATGCCTTTCCAGGAACCTCAGAATGTGATCTTATTTGGAAATAGGGTCATTGCAGATGTAATTAATTGAATTAAGATGAGGTCATCCTGGAGTAGGGTGGGCCCTTAATTCAATATGACTGTTGTCCTTATAAGAAGAGGAGAGAAACACACAGACACAGAAGGGAAAACACCATGTGATGATGGAGATGGAGGCAGAGATTGGAGTGATGCTTCTACAAGCCAAGGGACACCAAGGATTGCCAGCAACACCAGAAGCTGAGAGAAAGGCCTGGAACGGATTCTTTTCCAGACTCTTCATGGGGAGCACGGCCCTGCTGACATCTTGATTTTGGGTTTCTGGCTTCCAGAACTGTGAGAGAATAAATTTCTGTTGTTTAAGCCACCCAGTTTGGGGTACTTTGTTATGGCAGCCCCAGGACACTAATACAACCTAGTTCTATTGTAACCAACACAGGCGTGACGCCACCTTTTCAGAAACAGGACACCCTGATGTAGGTCTGGTCTGAGTTCCCTCCTCCTAGAGGCAGTGCATGATGGAATATCTGAGAATTTCAGGATCCTGGTCAAGGAAACTGGAGATGCTCTCGAGGGCAGTAGGACATCAGTGCTAGGACACACCTCCCTATGGGGCTTCGTCAATATAGTTCCCACTGCATGTCACCCTCTAATGTCTGCGTGAGGACCACTTTGTCATATACATTTGTGCATTTACATTTAGGTTCAGTCATCATGGAAGACAACTTTAGGGGTACTAGGAACAATACCTCACATCACCAAAAAAATATTAAAGAAGAGAGCACCTCCTCCCCCTTCCTTATAACTCGTAGAGACTGAAATTGCACCCTGGGGCCTGGCTTTGCAGACCAAGTATAGCTCTAACCCACAGGTCTTGAGTGCAAATGCAGCCTGGAAAGACAGAAAGACAATCCCAACCTCTGCTGCCCCAGGGCAAGTCTGTTTTCCAAACCATTGTCTTTCCAAATGGGAACTTTCTACGTCATCAGAAAGAATTGCAAAGAGTAGAGAGATGCACTAAGACACAGGAAAGGAGGAAATAAACTCCACCTACTTTACGGTGTGCCTTGTATATTTCCAGTTACGATCGACGGTGCTCAATTGAGAATATTTTATCCAACTACTTTAGGTCACAAATACTCATGAGCCTAAAGAACTCTCTCTTAAGCACACATGTCCTTCCGTTGTTGCTCTAGCAAATCAACCCCAGTTGCCCAGGACCCAAAACAGAAAGTCAAGATCTGCCAGAAACAGGTGCACTCAAATCCCCCAAATACCAAGCCACAGGCACTGGGGCCACATTGGGCAGACTAGAGCGAGGTCTGGGCCCTCTGGCCCTGGGCATGGGCTGAACCTTAGCCTCGCACTACTACTGTGTTTCAGAGAGGGCTGGAGGCCAATGTTTCATGTGGCTGTCCTTACGAGTCATACCGTGAGTATCCGGATGTTTACAGTCAACCCCATGGGCCATGCCACACCGGATGGATTAGTGTAGGAAGAAAGTGACAGGTGGAAACTGACATTGTTCTGGAGAGAGATTGGTTCTCGGGGAATAGACACAGACACATGCACTCAGCACCAAGCCACTAACAGCCACCCGGCCAGCTCTGGGGCCCTGCAGGTGGCACTGTGGCCAAGTGGCCACAGGAAGGTCCCCCGCATCCCGGCACCCACCTGAAACAATAGCATCAATGTCTTACTTTTTCTGGAGCGGGAGAAGAACCTGATGCCCCCTGGCGAGGTAGACGGGTTGGAGTTGGGGGAAGACTCTTTGGATGAGGAGCGGAAGATCCCGCTGAAGCTCATGCGGCGTGGGGAGCGCGGTGGGGACTCCTGGTAGGAGAATGGGAACACAGTTTTGGGAGAGCCGGGGCTGGTCTTGGGCCTCACGGGAGCAGACACGGGGCTGGAGGGCCGCTGCTGGGGGCCCCTGGAGAAGAACCCTTTGGAGGGGCTGCCAGAGCTGAAGGGGCTGTCCGCCTGTGGAGAGACAGATACATGGACAAGGTCACTCCGAGTCCAGGCACTCAGACCTCGGACCTGTCACTATCGCACCTGTCCCTCCCAATGTCCTCTATCACTGAATTGCTTCTCCATGGCACCCTGCCTGAGAAACAGTCCTAAGCTCTTCTACAAACAGAGGTGGCCACCAGTGGTCTGGGGGAAGGCCTGACCCAAGGACGGCCATCCACAGGCTGCTCAGCACCGCCCCGAGGCCCATGACCCCGGTCCAGCTCTCTGGAAGGGGCCTCCTGGAGGCGGGGAGGGGGACAGGAAAGGCAGTGATGATGGCTTGAAACAGTGCACCTTCCCCTTTATCCTGTCCGCGAGTCTGTCTCCGGGCCCTCACATCTCAAGACCTCACATTTGTCCTTCTTGAGGTCTGACTATGCTGGAATAATATTCTCTTGATTCTCTTTGAAGGAAGAAACACAAATCACTGTGATCTGAAACACAGTGGGCCTGGGCCTCCATCCCGAAGGGACCCTGGTGCTGGGAGGTGATGAATTTTTCACCTTGAGGCTGCTTGGGCATTGGAATGACCAGGATTGCTGACAGAGGTCAGGAAGAAAGTTAACAAGCTGAAAACCTCTGAGGCTCATTCACCGATGACTTGAAATTGTAGTTATGGTTTGAAAAATGATTGGACTCGGTAACTTTAAGCAAAGGCCACAACTCACAGACTTCGAGGAATAACGAATGTACTGTGTTGGTGGGTTTAGGAGTCTGAGTGCCTGGGTTTGACCCTGGCTCGCCCCTCACTGGGCCATCCCAGGCATTACTTAGTCTCGCTAAGCCTCAGTCTCCTTCTGGGTTAAACGAGGAGTCACACGGTCCCTCAGAGCTGTCTGAATGGACATGGGCACGGTACCTGATACGTGGGAATCACACTCTGTACATTAAACTGCTGCCATCTAACTGGTAAACCCGTAACCTAGGAGCCAGAAGGACCTCAGGGCCGACCTAGATCTGTAGCAGGAAACAAGCAACTTGTTCACAGGGCTCAGGGGGCAAGGATGAGGCCTGGGGAATTGTCCAGCACACTGAGACCTAGGATTCCACACGGCTGGTGACCACAGGCATGCCGAGATCATGGGTGAGAGCACCCCCTCAGAGGCAGCACCTGGTCCACATTGGGTGCCTGTCCGGACCTGGGACCCCTGTGAGTTCTTCCACCACCAGGGGGCACCCCCAAACCGGGCTTTTGGTTCCTTAAAGGATGCGATGCCCTCTCGGGGGCGCCACCTTCAGTGACCCTCAGCCACATGTCCACTTCTCCCTGTGACTCTCCACCCTATACTGAAGGGCCAGTGTGGCCGTAGGGAGGTGCACAGCCTGGCTCTGTGCCGAGCCCTGTGTGGAGTGGGCTTCTGAGGCAGAGAGGCCATGAGCTACAAGAGCCATACAACTCAAGCTCACCTCTTATAGAGAAGTTCAAGTTTTTCTCTTTCTAACCATTTAATATAAAAAGCATTTAGACCGTCTCTAGAATACTCGGTTTTGCCACCATCCCACCTACCTGTGGGACTCGGGCTTTCTGAAGTTTTCCGATTCCTAAGATAATTAATAAGAAGCAGCTCTTCAAGTGGTGGGCGATGCTTTTGTGGACATGGGGTGGGGAGTCGTAGGAACAGAACAAACAAGGAATGGGCATGACCCCACAGCAGGGTGGTAGAAGCAGGGATTCTGGAGACAGAGACCAGAGTTTGAATCCTGGCTCAGTTTCTAGCAATGTGGATGAATGACTTAAGCTTCAGGGTCCCCATCTATCCAACGGGGGTAGCAGGCCGACTCACAGGTTGTGAGGATGACAGGATAAACTACAAGGGAAGCAGCTGGCACAGGTCCTGGCATATAGTAAGAACTTCTCACATATGTGGTCAGCTCTCATCATCATGAACTTGGTACTAATAGATCCTTGGTATCTGTGGAACGTCAGAGAGGCCGGGCTAAATTACAGAAAGACACCACATGTGGTGTAAGAACCTCATCCTCCTTTGAGGGGAAACCACGAAGGTTCTTCAGCAAGCAAATGGCACTGTCAGATCTATTTAGAGTAGACCATTCTGGCAGCATCTCACCGCCATCCACCAAGGGCCACTGAGCCCGAAGCGAGGAGAAGGTGCTGGCTGGCGGCAGAGTGAAGGTCACAAAGCTGGTAAGTGGTGGGGTGGGACCTCAGGGCCTCAACCCTCACACCATATCCCTCCTGAGAGCAGCAGAAACGCTGGGAGGGGAGCAGTCCGGAAGATGTGAAGTGGAAGAGGAGTCAAGGTCAGGTTTGAGGGCAGAGGCAGAGTCGCGTTTGGGAGCTGCCTGGAAGGCTAACCCACCGACGTCCCCCCGTGCTCACTGTGCTCTTTACCTTGCACGGTGAGCTCTGCCTGGGGAGGGGGAGGAGAGCTGAGCAAACGCTGAGAGTCTATTCTATGGAGGGAACGAGGACGGAGGTAAGGTTAGGGTCCCACGAGATCAGGGAGACCGGCAGGCAAGACAGCCCATGAGAACGAAGCAGATGGAGAAAGTTTCCAGGGGGTGAAGCACCGAGTCAGAGGAGCCCCTGAGAGGGGCTGGGCTGTGGACAGGCCGGTGGGCGGAGGCAGCCCAGAGCGGGAAGGAGGAGACGGAGCGGGAGGCACAGACAGAGAATGGAACGCTGAGCCAAATGCCACCGGAAAGGGCCTTGGGGCCAGTTGGAACCATATTTGATGGGCAAGGGGGAGCCCTAGGCATCTCCTGACTGGGATTCTGTTCCGTACTCAGAATTCTAGGCCAACTGAGTCAGGCACTCGGTCATCAAGCCTGAGGAGGGAGCCCCAGAAAGCAGACCTTCCCCGAAAATGGCCAAACAATGGTGGTCGTGGCCAGCTCAGCCTTCTCCACGGGGAACTACGAGAATAATCTCTCTCCAGACAGTGAGAAAATGAGCCGGCGGATGGAGGACAGCCCCCGTATGTTTCCTGCAGGGCGGGTGGGGTGATCCAGATGACAGGCACCAATTGAAGCCGCCAGGGACAGGGCCTCGCTCATGCCCTTGAGCAAGCCGCAGTTACATGATACTCGGATCAACGTAACTGGAGGATGCCCTGGGTTTGGATGAACAAGAGGGCCCGGAGACTCCCAGGTGTGTGCCCGGCTCCACGGGAGCTAATGGGGAGCGGGCACTCAGGCTGTGTGCCGAGCAGCACTCTGCAGGGCCTTTTGTCACGCTGCTGCCGGAGGACAGCTGAGGCGAGGGCCAGGCCGGTGGTGCTTGGCTCTTAGCTGCGTCTCTAAGGACACAGAAAAGAGAAGAGGAATGTTGCAGGTACGTGAAAGTGAGTGGGAAGCCGGCGGGGCCAACTTCAGAAGCGACGGACAGAGCTGGACATCAGGCGCCTCCTGGGAGCTTGAGGGAAATGGGCCGGACGAAGGAGGTCACAGGTGAAGGGCACCAGGAAGGGGAGCCCGAGTAAGAAGAAATCTCAAGATGAGGGTCACTGGGTCAGGGAGACCTTCCCTGGGAGCCTCACTCACGCTGGGGAGGCAGGGGGAGCACTCAGGTGTGGAGCTGTGGGGTGGGCACTCAGGGACCCAGTGAGCTGACCCTGGGCAGCTCCGGTGTGAGGCAGCGGGTGGTCCAGACAAGAGAATACCAGAAAAGAACTGGTATTCTCAGGAGAGGAGCCCGAGGAACAGTGTGCAGAGTCAGCCTGGACAGAAGCACCCGAGTCGTGTCTAAAGCCCAGCCAAATGCAACGTTCCCTATGGTTCTGGTAAACGGGACATGGGTGCACCTCTCCACGGTGCCCTAAAGCGGCTGTGATGTGCTGCTGTCACAGCGCATTCCCAGACCTCCCTTGAGCACTTGCCCTGTGCCAGGCACCGTTCTAAGTCTGCTACGTAAACGAGTGCCTTTAATCCTTATAGAGAAAGGTGAGCACCGTCATGACCGAGGTTTGCCAACGGGGAGACGGGTTCAGAGAGAATATCTTGTCCCAGGTTACATGGAAGGTAAGTCGTCAGGAAAGATGAAGAGAGGAGCTGAGCTCCCAGTCCCAGGATCAAGGACACAAACAGGAAAACCCGTGGTCATTTATTGGGGGGAGGGGCCCGGGCACTCCACAGACTGCCCCCCGACACCAGGCCATGCTGGCTGACCTGGGGTGATTGCAATGGTGTTGAATGATCCCCCAGATGTCGACTGGCACTGCCCTTCCTCCAGATGCTGGCCCGGGAGCCACATGCCAGAGCTATGCAGATTCAAAGTGACCAGAAGCTCCTGCACGGAGACGTGTTATGTGACAAAGAGCTGCCTCCTCTGGGGGGAGGTGGAGACTTGGGAGATCCTGCATCAAATGATGGTCAGGAATGCCAGGTTGGCGTCCTCAAGTAGCCAAGAAAACCTATCACGGGGAGTGCAGATGTAGCCCACCCATTTAAGTCTATGTGGGCACCCAGAATGCGGGGCGGCGGGGGGGGGGGGTCTGCCAACTGTCCAACTCATGTTTAGCTTGGTAGCCACCAAAGATTTTTAGGCACCACTGCAGAAGAGGGAAGACTTCCCTAAGAAGATGGGGATCTTAGTCACAGGGTACAAAGATGCAGAGACAAGCCAGAAGAGGCAGGAAGCACTGATGTGGTATCTGTCCAGCTGAGGATACTCTCCTGCATGGCCTGCCCCACTGGCCCCAGTTCAGTGTCCAGAGACAGTGCAACATACTGGGCTGAGCATCAGGCAACCTGGACTCGGAGCAACTCAATTATTAAGCAGTCATATGACCATGGGAAAGTCTTTTTACCATCCTGAAGTCCAGTTTCTTCATTTTACAAATAAAATGTGCTGCATGTGACCCCAAGACCTTTGCACAAGTCTAGGAAGGAAGTCCCAATAATGACAGAGACTAACATTTCCCATCAACCTGGTGGGATGAAGGACGTGGAGTTAGATTTAAGATAGTTTAAACAAAAGTAAGAAATGTGGTTGCGTCTTTAACACTCAAATTCACAGCTGCAAGTTCACACCCATTTACATTTGCGTAAGTGCAAGTGATCCGGAGGCCCTTACATGGGATACGTCATAAAACCACCGAGGTTCCTGGGGGCAGAGTTGTCACGGCCTCCACTGCCTCTGTTCTGCCTGTTCCCAGCTGTCCCTCCTCCTCAGGGACGGCAGTGGCTCCTGCAGCGCCCCCTCCTATCCTCCTGCTCTCACCGCCTCTCTCACCTCCCTCCCATCACCACCTCCTCAGAAAGGGCTAGATGTCAGGAGAACCTAAGCCCCGCTCTCCTTCGCCGGGGTGTTTACAGTTTGAACTGGATCACTAAGAGGAAGGGGTAGAATCTGGCAGGTGGGGAGGGAAGCCCTTCCAAGGCAGTCTGGAAATTACTCTCAGTAGGCAGTCGCCTGACCGCTAGCAAAAGGCCGGCCTCGCGTGAATAGAATTCAAGGTTGCGAGTCTAATGGAAAGGAGAACTCTGAGATGCGAGGTCGGGAGGAGGTAACGTCTGCCCTAGGGGCGGGAGTGGGGAGGCCAAGGAGAGATCATGGGCAACAACGTCCGGGGCAGCCCCACGCGTTCCTCCCCCTCTGCTCCTCCACTTTTCACCCACACCGCTTCCATCAAGGCCCCGTCTCCAGGTCGCATCAGGAGGCCACCAGATGTAGGGACAACTGTCCCCCCAGGTAACTAGGCACTCAGGCCCTTCTGTCTCCTACAGAGTCCACTGCCACGTGCCAGTCTGTCAGACTGTCCGGAACATTCTCTGCCTTCTGGGGAGTTTGGTCTCCTCTCCCAGCCAGACTGACAGGCCGGTAAGGCTATGTCCCCAGACGGCATCATTACAATGTCTCACAAAGTCCTGAGGAAATGCTGGGGGGCACAGCAACCCTTGCAGTCCTTTTCTGCTCAGAACCAACTCGGACTCATTTGTGACAAGGACTTCACTCTGGAACCCTAGGGGAACCACCACCGGGGGCCTAGGGGAAGCCGCTAGCCTGCCAGGAGGGTGACCCAGCCCCGTACCCACTGGCCACGGGCAGCTGTGGGCCCACAGGTCACGGCTCAGACCTCGCCCAGTGGGCTGGGAGCTTGTGGGGCTCCGTCCTGTCCCGCCAGATGCAGGGCCTGAGGACATTTCCAGGCTGGGCCACAGTACCTGCTCATCAGGTTCCCGGTTCAGGGCAGGGAGCTGAGGCCAACTGAGCCCCACACGCCGGAACCAATTTGTTGATTCAGTTGTATACAATTCAAACCCTTAGTGAATAGACTAGTTTTCTCCAGCACTGGAAGTCCTGCCCCAACCCCAGCTCGCAGCACCAGGGCCCCAGCCTTCAGTCTGGCTCTGCATCTCGGCCCATGGACACTGCTCAAGGCACCCCTATGGCTGGGCCTCTTCCCAAAGCCACCTCCCACCAGGGCCGGGGTAACGAGGGACTTGCCACCCCAGATCTCTGCTCCACCCTCACTCTTGACTGCAGGCTGCTCTGACCTCCCCTTTCTTGCCATGGCGACCCCAGCCCTCACGGGATGTGTGCCTCTTCTCGGCTGCCTGACCCTACACAGCCACCAGCCTTGCTGTGACACTGGCTTCCTAAGGAGGAATAACTGACGACTGGGAGAGGGCAGAATGTGGGCTACAGAAAGGAAAGGAAAAGTGGAAAGGAGGACCAAAGGGAAGGAAGGGCTCAGGAATGGGCTAGTGTGGGGGCAAAAAGAGGTGAAGGAGAGAGGGAGGCACTGCGGGAGAATAAGCCGAAAGCCACAGATGGTCTCCAAACCTAGCATTTACTGACGCTTTCAGCCTCTGCTCTTCGCTAATTAGCACCTCTGGCACTTAGCTCATCGTTGATCTTCCGCATTGCCTCTGCCCACTTTGGGGAGTCTGGTGGGCCACTGCGGAGCCCAGAGGGAGAAGAGAGGAGCGAAGCCCAGGAAGCTCTCAAATTGGACAGCCTGGCAAGCACAAGAGGCACGGCCACATGAAGTGGGCCATCCCAGGGTGGGCTCAGCTGCGGCCAGGCGTGACGGTGGGTGAGCAGGTGGGAGCACAGGTGGGAGTGCAGGTGGTTGAGCAGGTAGGAGCATAGGTGGGAGTGCAAGAGGGAGCATAGGTGGATGTGCAGGTGGATGAGCAGGTGGCAGTGCAGGTGGGAGCACAGGTGG